ACGGTTCGTTGACCGATAAATTATCCCAACATATAGTAATCTCTCTATGCTTATTATTATTATTATTATTATTATTATTATTTGCTCCATATGTTAATTCGAAATCTAATTTGTTCGAACTGTGTACACAATTTGATTAACAAATTTATTATTTAAAACGATGTGTGAGATTATACAAGGTTTTATTAATGAACCAATTATTATGATTAATGACGATTATCGTGTTGATAACAGAAGTAGTTGAATTGTAATAAATTTCGTCTTAAAGAAAATCAATTAATTTTTTTTTTTTCAGATAAACCTCCCTCCCCTTCCAACAAAAATGGGTAAAATAAATTGAGCTTTTGAAATTGTAAAATCAAATTTATTTCTCATGTCGCACGCAAAATTGTTAATAATTTACATAATAAATAATAAGGATTTAAAAAAATGAGATGGTTGGGGGGCGGTTGTTTAAATCGTAATCGTCGTTGTTAGTTATCTAAGCAAGCTCGCAAATACTTGGAAATCCATCGTGGGCTTTTAAGATATGCAGAACGTGCGCCGGACATTCACGGATGTTATTTATAATTCACGGCATCGTGACTGTCGGTTATCCGCTTTGCGTATATCGTAGCTACTCTTCGGCTACCACTATTCGCTTATCTATCATCTATCATCTATTTATCTTCTCGTAAATCAATCGAGGTATCGACCTTTCCGAAATAATCGAAAGTAAAAATACTTTTTATTGTTTTTTTCTGTTTTTCTTTTTTTTAATTCCACTTCAGAATGATTTTTCAAACATAAACATTTATTTATTATATATATATTATATTATATTTATTTATTTATTTTTTTTTTATTTATTTATTTTTTTTTTATTTTAATCTAATAGATAAATGTATGTGGCACACACAAATTTTTCTTAAATTTAATATTAAATATGTACGAATATATTTTTGATATATATATATAACAATAATTACATACAAACCATGCTAATAAAGGATAAACAATGTGTAATAATTGAAACATAAAATCTCATCGAATTGTGCTAATCAAATATGAAATATCTACAAGTATCATTGATAAAATTGTTTATGTTTCATAATTAACTATTCATGTTTAACACACACACACATACACATATACATAAATATAATTAGTACAAAATGCAATTGTATTGTTGACGCAGTGCAATTGGAACGAGCTTTATCGACGAGCTTTATTGATTTTCCCTTGCGTGGTGCAACCCTCCCAAGAGTATCGGCACACTTTTGGCATTGTTGAGTAGGGGTTAGTAACCCTCTTCTTCTACTAAAAGGGAAACGCATTTCATGCCGTTTTTCTGTTTCTCTAGCTCGAGAAACTGCAACCATTGCCGATCGATATCGAAAGAGTACTCTGAACTCTCTCGTTTTTCTTCCGAATGCGCCAAACTCTAAACCAATGTTCTTCAAACTGTGTTACACTGAGTTATGAGATTCTATCGAACCTTCCCAAGGGTTACACGAATTGTTTTTTTTTTTTAAATATATAATACCATGTTAACATAATGTCTAACTAAATAAAATTAATATTTAATGAATGAAATTCTTACTAGAATATAAATGATTGAATTTCTTACGAATAATAAAACGTAAATCTGATGATATAATTAAAATCGAAAGATGATGATGATGATGATAATAATAATAATAATATGAAATAAAATTCTTTCAAGGACCGAGATGATTAGGTTACTTACGATTAATTATAAATCGATAGGTATTACATCGATCATATTTTCTGCTACCGGTAGGACGAGGTCCTTCGAGAAGACGCCGAGACTGGATGGAACTCGACTCCGAGATTATGTAACAGATGAGAATACAATACAGTAATGTTTATTGACGGACGCTTGGATAATATTACATGCAAATAGTATAACACTTTCCTATACTCGTAGGCTTGACACACATTTCCCGTTAACTCTTACATTCTATACTGAAAACATCTTTCTCTATTTTTTCTTTTTTTTTTTTCTAATCTTATTTTTCACGAAATATTTTATTAATAAAACTTTCGAGTTATTGAGAATTGAATTAATTTGCTTTTTTTTCTCTTTGTTTTTTTCTTATCAATCCCGAAGGGTAAAATCAAAAATCGTTGCGAAATTTTAAACGAAATGAAAATTTCATCGAATCAAATTAAATTGCAGATCTCAAATAGATGACAATGTGAACACCACATTGTCATAAGTATAAATAATTAATATCCGCAAAAATAGTTTACAATTTGAATATATAGATTCCATTTGACAATTCGCAATTATTTCAAACGTTCTGTATTTTAAATATGAAAAAAAAAAGAAAACGAAATGACTTTCTTATCAACCTAAGAGTTTTTTTTTTTTTTACTTCCGTAATAAGCTTATCTATGCGTTTGTGTTTTAAACTCGACAGAATGAGAACACTTATATATGAAAGAAAATAAAGTAATCTTGTTCAGTCCTCATTATTTTCTTATTTTAATAGGATTGAAGCCACATACGCGTTTCTATTATTACTTTTATTATTATTATTTTTTTTTTGCTTTTTTTCTTTAATGAAGTCAATCTCACGTGCCCGTTCATGTGAGTACGTAGATGCGTATAAATATGCAGTAAATATTAGATTGCAATTGTATTTCTAAAGAATATATTGTTCGTGTTACGTAAGTTATGTAAAGCTGTAAGAAAAAAAAAAGATAAAGAAAATGATAATGATACACACACACACTGGCACACCTCCATGCACTCTTGGGAACTATTGACATTTGTCGCGCAATATTTTCTTTTCTTTTTATAATTTTCTGTCGATGAGAGGTAGAGTCTCATATTTGTGTTTTTTTTTTTTCGTTCCTTAACGAAATCAGGTAAAACCGTAATAAAAAAAAATAAAAAATAAAAGATAAAAAGTAAAAGAGAACGAGAATCGGTCCTGGACCACCAACCGTTGAATTTTTCTTGCGGTTACCATGCTGGTTGCATAACGTCATCCCATAAAATCGAAACGTTATTAAATCCGCGTGCTTGAACTTTTTGAAAGAAACGCGGTTGAGTTTGGTTTTGCGTTTAATACAACTTGCGCAAATGTAACGTCATTGATTATTAATTATTTATCACTTAATATTAAACGTTTGAATAAATAATTATGATATATTTAAAAAAAAAAAAAAAAACATAAAAAACAATCTAAACAAATATATTTTTCTGTAATCAATTATCATAATTCGTGTTTAGTTTGCGAAATATAAAATGACAATTATACTTAAGTTCCAATCAAAATCTATTCTTCCAATAAACTACTACAATCTTCGAATGTTAAGATAATCTTAATAGGATTTTGAAAAAAAAAAAAAAAAAAAGAAGTAAAGAATGGAACGCAAAGAATGATGATGATGATTCGTCGTCGTGTCAGTTGTTCTCTTCTGATTCGTCGTCGTAAGTTGTTGTTAGTTCATCGAACGGTCACGAGAAAAGACAAGAGTTCATTGATTCGTTAAGTTCATCATCAGTTGTGTCTTTACAGTACGAGTCTGACCGCCAACAAAAATAACTTTCTAAGTAGGAGTCATACTTAAATTATTCGCTATGCTCGCATTGAGTTTCTCTTTATCTTTTTATTTCTTTTTCTTTTTTTTTATTTATTTCTCTTCCATTCCACTACTCTCTTTATATTTCTTTGTCTCTTTGCAATTCGAATATACATGATACGAACGTGAGTTATTCGTATAATAATATGGTAAGTAAGAGAATTCGGAAACATGATACAGAGCTAACGTGGCTGTTCAGAAATAACTGCAGGAATAATACGAAGGACTAAATATATAAATGTGATATTTATTCTTGTGTATGCGTAACACGTAACGACGAAATCATTACGACGATATATAAATTCAATTGCCTAATTGATCTATGATTAATTTTGATAATAATATGTGTGTGAAATTAGTAATAGTTTAATAGAAAATATTTATATGATTGTGTATTACTTATTTTTATTCATTTATTATTTAATTTGGTGTATAGGTATCTATGTATTAATTCATTTATATCTGATGTACAATGGGATTAATTTGATAAGAATTTCATTTCATTTTTTTTTTCTATCTATAAATAGAAAAATCGATAAAATCAAACTAAAATGAGTATATTAATTAATATTATATTTAATTAATTATATATATAGAATATATGGTATGGCAGGTCTAAATAGGTTAATTTATAATTAAATTAGTATCGATACGATATTAATTAATTAATATTTCCAAAAATTCTACTTACCTAAATTTATTCGTGAATATTCTACAAAATTCAAATGATGTTTGCGTCTTCTTGGTTCAAAGTTTTAGAATAAAATTTCATCGTAGAACATTTCATATTACTTTACGAATAAACTTAATCTCAAAATACATAACTGATTAAAAAAATGTAAATAATAAAACTTATAATTAAAATATCAATCAATAATATTAATATTCCCGATAATTTAATTGATATTAAAGAAAAAAAATAATCGCGTAAAAATAATACATAAAAAAGAAAAAAGAAACAATATTACGTCTTTACAGTATAACATCTAAACTAATACTGTGTCAAATTATGACATTCCAATGATATGGGTAGGGGATAGATTGAGAGGTGGGGACAATACGTGAAATGAATGTAAACACGTTGTTAAAAAATGATAATCAAAACGTTAATCACCGTGGCTCTGGTTGGTGGTGGTGGTGGTGGTGGACGCTTTCAATTCCTTTAGTTGCCGAGACGTTCCCAGTTTACATTCGACGATCGTGCGGTTTACATCGTGTGTGCATTGTATCAAACTAAACAACAATATAATAATCTATAGAAATCATCGATCTCTTTATTATACCTGTTATATTTTTTACGTTTAATTATTTTATATATAAATCTAAAAAAAATATCGTGTGATTTCTTAGATATCAATGAAATAAAAATTTTATTCAATCGAATAAAAAAGAAATCGAAAGTATTGCAGTGTGTTATTATTATCATTATCGAGGCCTCCCATATTTTCTTTTCGTTTTTTTTTTTCTTTTCGTACAACTCTCTCGAGTGTAGTTACGTAACCGAATAAAAAGATACAATGAAGTCAAAAACAACAGAGAATTTTATTGCTAGTGAAAGCAACGGGGTTAAGAAGGAACAAACTATGGAAGAGACCACCACCACCAAGCAAAAACAATTGAAAAAGGGTAAAAAAATTTTTAAGCAATTCGAGAATAATTGACACGATTTATTTCTTGATTAGGCCTCAAATATTGTATCAACTTACGTGCGAGTTTATCGATTAAATAGCGATCTTTTTTTTTTTATT